TGAGAGTATGGCAGGGGAGGCCAGGTAGGTTGTTGGGTTGGGAGGGAAAGAGGGTGATGTGGAATGCTTATACCTACTAGGGGTGTTACGTACGAGGGGTTTGTGGTTTTCCGGCGGTGCCAGCGCTGGCGTTAGTGCCGGTACCAGTGCCCCTTCCGGTGCCGGCGCCGGTGTTGTTGCTGGTGCCGGTGCTACCGTTCGGAGCGGAGGCAGTCCCCGTGGGAGGGGCTGCCCCGAAGGAGTTGCTGCCCGTGGTGCTTGGGGTGCTTATCGAACCGAAGCCAGCGCCCGAGGACGGGGGTTTTCCGAAGGCGCTGCTGGTGTTGGGCGTGCCAAAGAGACCGGAGCCAGCGGCCGCGGAAGCGGATTTTCCGAAGGCGCTGCTGGTGTTGGGCGTGCTAAAGAGACCGGAGCCAGCGGCCGCGGAAGCGGATTTTTCGAAGGCGCTGCTGGTGTTGGGCGTGCTAAAGAGACCGGAGCCAGCGGCCGCGGAAGCGGATTTTCCGAAGGCGCTGCTGGTGTTGGGCGTGCCAAAGAGACCGGAGCCAGCGGCCGCGGAAGCGGATTTTCCGAAGGCGCTGCTGGTGTTGGGCGTGCTAAAGAGACCGGAGCCAGCGGCCGCGGAAGCGGATTTTCCGAAGGCGCTGCTGGTGTTGGGCGTGCTAAAGAGACCGGAGCCAGCGGCCGCGGAAGCGGATTTTTCGAAGGCGCTGCTGGTGTTGGGCGTGCTAAAGAGACCGAAGCCACCGCTTACGGAACCAGACCCAGTGCCCGAGGCAGAGGGTATCCCCCCAGAACTCTTGGAGTTAGGCGTACTGCCCAAACCAAGGCTAATGCCCGGGGTCGGAGCCCCGCCGAGTGGGTTGCTACCGCCGGAAGAGCCGCTAGAAGGGAGGGGACCGTTCAACACGCTTTGACCGTAGGTGGGAGGACGAGATGGAGGTTGTGTGCTGGGTGGGACTGTTGTTGCGGCTGGGGCGATGGGCGGCTCTGGTGCTGGTGACGGTGTCGGGTCTCCAGACGGGGTGACTGACGGCTCCGGCGTGACATCCCCTGATCGTTTAGCTTCAGCTGGACTTCGTTAACAGATAGATGTATGGAAATCTAACTTACTTGAGACTTCCCCTGGTACACCACCGGTAGACAACCGCAACAAAGCGGAGGGCAGCCCTGTAGATTGTTAGAACTGGGGACAAGTCATACTTTGTCATTGACAACATACTGCTTTGCTGGGGGGGCCTGTGCCTTTGGCACTTGCGCAATCCTTCCCGCAGGATGGTGACCTCTTGCTGGAGCTCCTGCCGCTGTCTCTGCAGATCCTCAGTCTCCGATGCTAGATATTGCAGCCTCGCCGTGTCCATTCCGTCGACCTTTGTCGGGGTAAAGATGGTTGGCAGGTCGCGGATCAGACAGAACTCGATGGCTAGGCTGATGATGTTGTCGACAAACGTCAACAGTGACGTCTATTTCTTGTGTTAGGGCGCGCTCGTCGAAAGTCTGATTGTGGCATGAGAATCACAAACCTTATAGTATATCGCCATCTGGTCAATGACCTTCTCCGTGTCAAACATGCTACCATCCACCCGGCTCGGGCCATCCACGGCATTCAGGATCATCTGCCGATTCAGGGCCGCGGCCGTGCCAAAGTCGATCTGAAACAACTCGGGATGCTCCCTCTCCAACCGTCGGGCAAACTGGACGGCAAATCTCCGCGACGTCTTGGCCTGCATTTCCTCGCGGAAGGTCAGGTCAAGAGGTGGCCCGTAGCCATCTTTGTAGGGCGTGATGATCTCGCGCAGCTTAGCGCTGAGAATATCTTCCTTGTCGGCAAAAAAGGGGTCCACGCAGTCGTGGAGGATGGCGTTCAGGGTAGCGTCGTCGGTGCCAACCACATGCCGAAACACGCGGTGCACAAACTCCTTGGCTGTTGAGAGGACATAATCCAGGTGCTGTTGTGCAATAGCTTCCCATGGCGCCGCCTGCTTTTTGAAGAGTAGAAAGACAAGCTCGGGGTTAGTGTCCCCAGGAAACTCCTTTCCACGGTTGGAGAATGCCAACGACTGCAGCAACGCGTTAAGCTCCGCCTCCGGTTTTGGTTCGGGGTCGGGGGCGTTGTAGAGCTCATACAACGGTTGCAAATACTCAGCAATCTCGCCGCCGTTTTCTTCCTCTGCAGCCTCGTTGGCATCCGCATCCTCCCACTGGATCTTGTAGCTCGCCCCCTTCCTTTGCATAACGTAGTTAAACGCGTCGTTCATGTTTCTCAACAGCGCTCGCAACTTCAGCAGCCGCGTGTCGTCCTGGTCGAATCCCCCAAACAACGGATCGTTGTACCGCCCCTCGACCGCATCGCGCGCCAGCCGCTGGAACTCCTCCGCAATGCCCAGAAGATAACTCCGCAGCTCCTCCGGGGTAGACCTGGGCTTTCCAGCGCGAGTCAGGTCCTGCTGGCGGGCCCTCAACCTCGTCTCAATATCATCAATAAGATTACCGAGATTCTTCTTGATATGATCCAGCAACACCTTGCTCAGCCGCTTGCGCAGGCTCTTCCACACTCCCTATGCGCCGAACTAACCGAGTTCCACTCGCCCGTCCTAAAGAAGCGCTCCTCAACGGCATCCCGCACCTCCGCCTCCGACGACCGCTCCTCCTCGGACCGGTTGCGCAACACATACCAGCCCAGCGCGAGCCGATGCACGCTCTCGCGGCCCTTGGCGAGGTCGAGGTACTTGCGCTCGTTGGCGGGCCCGGCCATGTCGGGCTTGGTGATGACGCCGATGGTGCGCTCGCGGTCGGGGTCGTGGCGCGCCGCGGTGGAGAGGACGGCCTGGTTAGCGAGCGGCTGGTTGGCGGCGACGACGAGCAGGATGATGCTCTTGGCTTGCTCCATGTAGCTCTCGATGAGCCCGTTGACGATCTCCCTATCCTCGTCGTTCTGCTCTTCGGTGGAGCTGTGGAAAATGCCAGGAAGGTCGACGAGGGTGAGGGGGTACACGTCCGGGCTGGTCACCTCGACGCGCAAGACGTCCTTGGAGAAGCGCTTTGCGCCGTTGTTGGAAATGCCCATGCGTTGCTTGGCTTCCCGGATGATGTCTGGCAGGGCGTGGCGATCGAAACTATCTCTGTGGAAGGGTGCAGGAGGGGCGCGGGGAGTGTTGGGGGTGCCATCGTCTGCATTTCCAGACACAGCTTCAGCGAATTGAATGCTGACGTTGATGGCCGTCTCAGGTGCGCGCCGGAGAACGAGCTCGGTGGCGAAGCGAGTGCACAGGTCGCCGTCGACAGGGAAGCGGACGCGCGAGATGGCTTCGAGCACTGAGCTCTTACCGGACGACTGGTCGCCGACCACGATGATTTGAGGGAGTTGAACGAAATCGCCAACGCCGAGCGCCCGAAGGCCGTCGATGGTGTCGAGCAGAGATCGAGCGTCCGCTGTGTTGAGCTGCGAAAGCGAGTCCGCTTCGAGGACGACCTCTGGTGCGGGTTCCATCGTGATTTTTGGGTTCGGTTATCAACCGCGAGCATGAAAAGAAAGAAGAAAAGTGAATCGAAAATGTGGCTTCTTGGGGTCGTTTGCACTTGATGTGAGGGCTGAGGCAATCAAGGTTGCATCGGGAACGCCAATAACCAACAGCTCGGGTTTCGTCCCAGCCACCAGCGCTTAACAGGGAGAAGACTAGCGATTATTGTGCAGCAGGACCCTGTGCTGCCACTGAACTGAACTGTGAAAGGACGGCCGACGGCAACTGGCAATAATCACGGGAAGAAAGTATCTCAGGTACACTGTGCTGGAAACCAGACGGAAATGTAGGGAATACCAGGTATCGCGATAACGTTAGAAACACAGGACAAATCCCTTCTCTCTGGAGGGACGTGCTACATTGGTGGTTCAGTTGGATCATGTTCTTCTTCTCTCCGGAATGAGGCGGGGGCAGATTTTGGATGGATGGATGGAATTTATTTCGCCCGGAGGCACTGGGCCTATAGGGCCTTAGCACGCTAACTACATCCGGATCAAATCGTTTTGCCTTTAACTCGTATAAGCCCCCTACTTCTTCCCTCTTTCTCGCTGCACCATTTACCTCTTGCCTTGGTTGTTGTTAGCAGATCAACTTGGAGGCTACTTTCTCCAAGTGTTCAGCGTCCTATCTTCAGCAGCTAAAGCGGGACCTGCTGGTTAAGGCTCGTGGTTGAGGCTCGTGGTGTTGAGTGTCGGCTTCTTCTACTGTGACTGGTCTAGACTCTCCTCTTCATTCAGCTCCAGCCTTCCTGTTGCCATTGCGTATTTGATCGTCGCCCGGACTGCCTTCATATCTGGTGACCAATGCCTTGTATCTGATGGCGCTTTCCCTCCCAGATAGAACGAGAGGCTTCCTCGTCTTGCCACTGTGCATTGCAGCATGTCTTCCCTCAGAGCTGTCCATCTCACGCATCGGAAAAGAAAGTGTTCCACTGATTCCCTCGCTTGTCCACAGGCACAAAGGTCTGACTCGACCGCCCCAATCCTGCTCAAAAAACCGTTTAGTCTCGCCATTCCGGTTCGGAGCTGCGCCAATACGCAGGCCTCCCTTCGCTTCAGCTTGTCATAGAGATGGCGCGTGTGCTTGCCTGGTAGTGCTGCGTCCATGGCCCTTTGAGAACTTGCCCACGCTTACAGGTAGAACTCTTGTCGCCCGTTGTCTTTCCATTGCCAGCCTCATCGCGGTAGACTTGGCCTGGGGTATTTGGGAGTCGGGTGTGCGTCCTTGCTTCGACGCTCTCTGGGCTGCTGCCTTGGCATCTGACCCCAGCGCGAAGTCAATCTCCGCTGGTATCCACAGAAAGTTGACCGAGTTCCCTCTTTGTCGGTGCAGCCTGGCCAAGTCCCTTCTTTACGGATGAGCTGGTTGCGGCCACGATTCCCGAAATTTTGTTGACCATCTCGGCCGCCTTCCCTCGATCGGCTTCGAGCGTCGGTCGTAGGCGAGGTACCCAGGGCGGGACGGCGTATTCCTGGATTGTCTCCATCCGGTCAACTCGTACTCCTTCGGCCACGCGGGCAATTTTCTGCAGCGGAGATACGAATCGTACGGTGGTCCGGACTTTCTTCATCGCAAGGGGATGCGTTCCGGGCAGCGTGTGGATGTTGATCCACAGACTGGCTGCTGCCTGGGCGTGTCGTTCTCGTACGGGGTAGATGCTCGCTTCAGCTTCCACCACGGCTGTTGCCGCGGTTCGAAAGGCTCCCGTGATGGCCAGGGCCCCGATCTTCTGCGCCCTGTTCAGCCAGCTCAGTGCCTTTTCCCCGCACGCATGCATCCAGACATTGGCAGCGTAGTCCATGACCGGGGCTACTGTCGCAACAAATAGCTGCCTCGCTGTCCGCGGGGAAAGCATCTTCAGCCTCTTCAGGGCCAGAGCGGCTGCGAGGCCCTTAGCTGCCGTCCTAGCAATGTGCTGCTTGTAGCGGACTTCGCGATCCATCACGACACCTAGGATTTTCGCACTTTCCTTCGGTTTGACCACTTCGCCTTTGACCGAGAACGGTTGTTCTGAAAATCGCTCCATGTTCCTCGTGAAGTGTATGATGGCTGTCTTTTCGCCTTCAAACTGCGCACCGCTCCGTTTCTCCCAGTCAAGGGCTTTGTCGATGATAGCTTGGATTCCAGTGCGGTTCGACTCCGCTGACGGGCCCGTTACCCAGGCAGTGTAGTCGTCCACGAAGGCAATTGCGCCTCCGTTCGCGTCAATCTTGTGCTGCACTAGGTCGGCGTTGAAGAAGAGGAATAACACTGGAGACAGCGGCGATCCTTGCGGAAGACCCGCTTGGGGCAGCTCTTGCCGTCCAGATGTGAACCCGTTTACGGCAATGGTCGCTGTGCGCTTGGAGCAGAAGGCGTCGATCCACTTGACCAGGGATTCAGGTATCCCTCTTGCCTTGAGCCTCTGGAGAAGCCTGTCTTTGAAGACCCCATTGTATGCGCCCTTGACATCGAAGCTGATCAGGCTGAGCACTTTCCTAGCTCTCCATGCTTTGTAGATGTGTTCCTGAAGCAGAAGGAGAGCCTGTTCGGTCGAGCGTCTCTTCCTGGCTCCGAAGTGGTTGGCGGGTAGAAGGCCGCAGGTCTCCACAGCATGGGATAAACGCTCCGCAATGACTGCCTCCAGTATCTTACCCAGCGTGGAGAGCAGCGAGATGGGTCTCCAGGACTTGGCTAGAGTGTATTCGCTCTTCCCTGGCTTCTTCAATGGGATGATCTTGGCATTCCTCCACTGGCTGGGGATGTCGCCGTCTCGAAGCGACGTCCGGAATAAATGGAGCACCCTGTCTTTGACCACTGGCCAGAGCTGTCTCCATACCATTGCCGGTAGACCGTCTTCCCCGGGCGCCTTCCATGGCTTAGCGGACAGGACCTTTTGTTCTATCTCCTCCATTGTTAGGTCTGGCATGTGTACCGGCGCCCGTTGAGGTCGTTGGCCCTCGTCTTCGATTCTCGCTGGCAAAGGTGGGAAGAAGGCGGTGAGTAACTCCTGCGCTTGTTCTGCTTTACCCTCCGTGATGGAGCCATCGGGTCGGACGAGCGGGGGTATCTTATCGCCCATCGTGCCGCTGCCGGTTTGCAGGTACTTCGTTGCTTGCCAGATGTTAGCGTCATCGGCCAGGAAGTCGTTCCAATGCGAACTCTTCTGTCTGCGGATGGCGTCGTGGTACTCTTTGGCTGCCATCCTGGCTCGTTGTTCGAGCTCTGGTGCTGTTTGCCCAATCCTACGTCGAGATCTCGCCTGGTTTCTCCAAAACGTGTATGTCTGGCGAAGCCGTGTCAGGTCCGTTGTCCACCACCGCTTGGCGTATGGTGAGGGTTTGGCTTTAGGTGTCAGGCCGTAGACCGCCTCGGTTACCGCTGCCATGAGCCTGTCCGTCTGCTGCTGGACATTGCCGTCCCAGGGGATGCGTTCGAGGTTTGCTGCCACCCTAGTCCTAATTTCCGCCCAGGGCGCGTTCTTGAAGAGGAACCTCGTCTCACTGGGACGGTCCTCCACCGAGGTGTCAAAAGCTGTCTCGATTGCTCTGTGGTCTGAGCCATGGTCGCAGGGGTGAATCGCGCATCTGAGTAGTTGGTCTGCTAGTTCTGCAGAGGCCAGTACCAGGTCGATTGTGCTCTCAATGTCGCCTGACTGCCACGTCTTCGTGCCTCTTGGGAGGAGGCTGCAGAGGGAGTGTTCGTCCATGAGGTTGATGATGCGGTCTCCCTCGCCTTGTCTCCGTGGTGAGACATCGTCCCCTCCCCAAAGCTGGTCGTGGCGGTTGAAATCGCCCGCCAGGATGATATCCGTTCTCGTCCCTGTTCCGTTTCGAAACCTCCTAATCAGTCGGTCAATTTCCCTCATTGCATCTTCCAGTGCTTCGTCACTACCACCCTCCACATACACTGACACCATCAGCACTGCCCGATCTGGGAGCCGAATGCGTGCTGCGGTGAGGTCTGCCGACGGCACTGGAATCTGCTCGACCTCTATATCGCTTCGTACCCATAGCATGCTCCGAATTGGCCACGTGGTTTCTCGTCTTGTCGTTGGTATAAGCTTCGTCCAGTTGTGATGACTCATTGGGACCGTCGTCACCGAGCCTTCGATCAGCCTGGCATATGGTTCGGAGATGGCCAGCACTGCGAAGTCCTTGAGTCCCTCGTCGTTTAGCAGACTCTGCTGCACTTCTCTCCGTTTGCGGACGTTGAGCTGAAGGATCTTAAGCGTCTTGGGCCCCATTGTTCAACCAGCGTACCCGACAGTTCTTGCTAAATGACTCGTGTGGTCCTCTGCATAGCACGCACTTCAGGACCACGGACTGACACGTCTTGTGGTGGTGACCCTGTTCCGCACACCTTCCGCATCTTTGCGGCTTTTTGCAGGCGAAGGCCTTATGGCCGATCTCCTGGCATCTGTAGCACTGGATTGGGCCTTCCCGGGGCGCGAAGACGGTCGTGTAAGCGGATTCTCCGGCGAGATGGAAGTAACGCCCGTCTAGAAGTCGCCTTGCTTCGCTGCCCTTCGTCACGTAGACAACCATCGAGCCGTAGGCCTTGCTTGTATCCTTCCTGCTGAGCCAGGCAATCTTCGCAATGTTGACGTCGTTCTCTGTCCCTAGCGCCTCTGCGGCTCCCGGCAGGATGTTTCCGTCCGCATCGAGGACCGCTGTTCGGTTGGCATTGTCTACCCTCACCGGGTACAACTGGTCTCTCAATACCCGCACTCCAGGAACACTGATCTTCACTGCCGCTTCCTTGACGAGCTGGACCTCGCCTTCGTCCCTGCAAATTACTCTGACTCGGTCCGGGTTTCGGGCCTCCTTCACAACCGCAGCGCAACGCCAGTCTCCCATGCTTTCCTGTGCCCTGGCCTCTGTCTCGATTGCCTTTCTAATGTCCGCCACCTGGACGTTTCCCTTCTCTTTCTCCTCCACCCTAGATGTATCGATCGTACAGAACAACGTGTCGGTAAAGGATGAAGGCGTCGTGTTTCGCGAGGAGAGGGTGCGCACACCGCTTGGCTGGCTTGATGGTGGGGTGCGAGCGACTTCGGCGTATGACCCTCTTGCGCTTGGTTGGGACGAAGCCATGGCTACCGGGTGGCGTTGAAGGGTATCAATCTGATCCCGCGCTTGTCTCAGTTCTTCAGAAAGCTGGGTCCTGGTGTCTGCAAGTTGGCGATGTAGTTCTTGAATCGCGTCGTGCTGCTTGCAAATCACCTCGCGTAGTTCGCCAATCGTGTTTCGCTGCTCGGTAATCATTCGGTACATTTCGTCTCGTTGTTCGTTGATCGCCTCCAGGAGCATCTGTATACCTGACTTCCCCGTCTCGATCCGGCTGTTGGCTCCATATAAAATCCCAGACGCGCGTGCTCCTCGCGTCGTAACCGCCCGCGTGGTCTCGCTCGCCGCTCTCCTCGACGTGGTAGCCACGTCCTCGAGCGATTGCATGGCTTCGCGAGCTTTCGCGCTCGGTTTCAACGCGCGGCTCGGTCGTCTCGGCGAAGGTGGTTGGTCGGCCACCTCGACCACGATTTGGGGCTGCGCCTCCGCCGCCATCTTGCAGTCCCTCGGCAGTGCCGCCCGACTTTCACAAAAGCTTCCTGGTCTCGATCGCCTCTCGCCGATGAACCTCTCCCTTATTTTTCGAATGCTCGTTCCGGTGGTGGTCTTCGACCCTTTATTTACTGTGTAAGTCGATGTCACGAATATGTCAACAGGTGGAGCCTCGGGGCGCGGACACCCCGAACCAGTCATCCCAAGGACCAATCAGGGAAGGCTGGGGTGTGCTCAGTGTGATCAGGGGAACGGGGAACAAAGGGAAACCAAGCACACTGAGCATAGAAGCCATACAGCCAATCAGAACACAGGAAGGACTAAAAGTGATCAGTGTGCTCAGTGACGCCGAACTCCGGAGGAGACTGAGCACACTGAGCACATAGGACTTAGATAGGGATATAGTCACTCGTTCTGGAGAGCTCTGGGAGTTCTCCAGTTAGCAATCACAACTACAGTTCGCTACAAGCTCGGAAGCCTACTGTTGAGACAAGCCTTTGTTGTGCACCTTTTGGCTGCACCGAACCTAAGCACCCTTGAGAGATTACCTTCAACCGAAGCTGAAACCCTAACAGGACAGGGTCCTGAAGTAGGTTCGTCACAGTCGAGTACCCCCCCTTTGGGCCACTTCTTACATCCACACTTAGATCGCAAAGTTGGGATATGCGGACGTCAGCCTACATATAAGCATTATGCATAACGGCACGGCGGGTCCACGAAAAAGGGGTCATGCAGGATTTCCAATACCCTCCTCTTTACTGTGTACATGTATGTATTACACACTTGAATCAATCAGAAAATTTGATCACGACTTTCCAGCCCTCAGCATCAGTGAACTGCATCGCAATACAGTTGACCCCCTCTTCAAAAGTACATGTACCGTGGCTGTTGGAATTTCCGACAACATGGGCTCAGCCACAGCTCATCGGAGAGTCTTTTTATCTGTGCGAGATCCTTTCATATGCCGTTTCTCGCAGCGGTAAATCTGTGAAGAGACAAGAAAAGCAAGTGGTGAATTTGTCTGGTTACCACGCCGTCACAAATACGGGGATAGTATATCCATATCATCCATCCCTTCTTCGCTCCAACCTCCCATCATCCACCACACAAATCGACCCCCCACAATGGAATCAGACAGCCTGCTTCGCAACCAGAAAACCGGCCACCTCCCCATCCTTCAGCTCACCCGCCTGGGGATCCCCATCCGTCACCACCATCAGCCGCGGCGTCCACAGCAAATTGCCCCCCGCGGTAGTCCCCTGCGACCACGCCCAGCGAACCACGCCCGCCGCGCCCATGTACACGCCGGGCTGCCGCTCTCCATCCACGTAGTACGCATACGGCTCCAGCATCAGGCCCGTTTTGGATCCGGCCTCGATGTTGCTGCCCCGCCCCGTGTTGACGCGGTACGGAGTCTGCTCGCCGACGCGGTTGCTCAGGCCGACGTCGTCGTAGCAGCTAATGGGGGAGTACGCAATGCCTGTCTTGTTGTAGATCCCCAGCTGTGTTGTTGTTGTTGTCGCTTAGCATTTGATTTTGAACTGACTAAGGTACCTAGGTGCCTGTGTGAAAGGAGTGGGGCGGAGCTCATACCACTTCCCAAGGCAGGACACCGCGCTGCTGCATCTGGATGCTTCCCCAGCGCGGCAACAAGTCGTCAATGTAGGTGCCGGTGCCGACGGCGTGCATGAAAACCTCGCCGACCATGGCGGTACCAGTGTTGGTCATGGGGAACGAGCCGGGGAGGGGGAAGCAGACCCCCATGAGCAGCCTGGCCTCGGCCGCGGCGGATGCGACATTGATGAGGCTAGCCGTGGCTAGGAGGGCCGAGGTAAGGGTAATGAGGGAAGGCATCTTGGGCGGTGGTTGAGATGGGAGTGTATGAGGGACAGAGAGAGGTACATCGATTTCGAGGGCGTTGTGGGCTCTTTTAAGCCAGGCCCAAACCCCTGGACTGGACTCGTCTCCCACAACAGATGGATCTTGTGCTTCGGTCGCGAAAAGCTGTGCCACTCCCCATAAGGAAGGCCGATTGAGTCATATTAAACTGACCGCTAACTAGCCGCCGCGCTAGCGGAAAGGATTGAGCTAATTTCTTGGGTAGCGGGTAAAGTGGTAGTAGGCAGCCCTGCCACAACAGTATACCTGTAGTATTGGGGGCCGATTTTGGGGGCTGAGCGCCGAGATGCGTTCCACTCAAGCCCTTATTGTGGGCACGACTTCCGCGAGGCAGAGAGCCCCTACATATAGTCTTGAAGCGACAAGCTTCAATACGAGAGTTTGGAGGTGGCCTCGCCCAGGGTACGTTACATTACATCCCTAAAAGGAGCCAACGCGGACCGCTAGATCTATCAGTTAAGAGAGGTTGGATGTCAAGAACTTTTGCGTCCCAGCTGGTTTTCTCCAATGGCGCACCCCATAGGTTCCATACTCAATTGATAGACACACCATCCTCCCATACTCTGTGCTTCGCATTATCCTACGTTCCGATCTTCGACGTGGCTGGTTTGTTTTCGCCAGCGGATGTGTGCCTCAGCCCAAACTTGTAGACACTGATATGCTAAAATGCGTGTGGAGAAACATAGGTAGTCCTTGTGTCCAAGGTAGGTCCAGCTTGAAACCTTGGTCGAGTATGGTTTGTTAGTACAATAGTTCACATCCCGTGTTTTGGTGGAAACTTCGATGGACAGTTAAGGGTGCAGGGCGCATACACTCGGAAATACTTGTTTTGCTTTTCTCCTATATTCGGGCCTACTTCGACGTCTCACAGGCAGTGACGCCGGCCGAGATCACGAGGGCGATAGGAGGAGCGAGCCCCTGGAAGGCGCCAGGGGAGGACCTGCTCCCGATAGACCTTCTGAAGGCGTGCGGAGCACCGTTAGCTGAAGTGCTGGCCGTTCTGGCGACAAGGTGCCTGGAGCTAGGATGGTTCCCCAACCGTTTTAAGAGGGCGAAGACTGTAGTACTGCCGAAACCAGGAAAGGCTCCGCCGGTGTATCAGACCCCGGGGGGATACAGGCCCATTGCTCTGCTACCAACCCTGGGGAAATTAATAGAGTCGGTGGTCGCCACGAAGGTCACCCTAGCGGCAGAGGCCAACGGCCTGCTCCCAGACGAACAAATGGGAAACAGGGCACACCGCTCCACGGAACTAGCTGTCCGGCTAGTGGTAGCCCAGGTCCAGGAGGCGTGGAGACAGAAGGGTGCGGCGTCTCTATTGCAACTGGACATTTTAGGAGCCTTTGACACGGTCAACCATACCCGACTGCTAGCAACTCTGCGGGAAATGGGCTACCCGAGGTGGCTGGTCCTCTGGATAAGAGACTGGTTGACCGGCCGAGAGGCCACCCTCCTTTTCGACGGCAAGGCAGCGACCCCAACGGCGATTCGGGCAGGGGTCCCCCAGGGCTCCCCCCTTTCACCGGTCCTTTTCATTCTCTACATTGCCTCTCTATACAAGCAGCTGAAGGACAAACATCCCCACTTGGCTATCGTGGGGTTTGCGGATGACACCAACCTCCTGGCTTTCGGCCGAAACCCCGAGGTTAACATCCGGCAGCTGGAAGGGGCATGGGAAACGTGTCTACGATGGGCGGAAAGTCGGGGGATGAAGTTCGCCGCGGAAAAGAGCGAACTCATCCATTTCAACAAGGGGCGACGACAGTGGACCAAACAGGTAAACCTTACTAACACAGGGGGAGGCACTAGCCCCGTCAAACCAGAAGGGTCTGCCAGATTCCTGGGAGTCTGGCTGGACTGGAAACTCAACTGGAAAGCTCACCTGGTGGCGGTGGAAAGGAAGCTGAGGACCCAGAGCTACGCCCTGTCGAGGATCGTGGCAAAGACGTGGGGAATGGGGCTAGCCAAAGCACGAGAAGTATACACAAAGTGCATCCGGTCGGCGCTGGCCTATGGCGCATCATCGTTTCACATCCCCACGGATGTGGGAGGCGAGCCGGTAAAGAAAGGCATCACCAAGGCCCTCGGGAAGGCCCAGAACAAGAGCTTGCGGTCCGTAACCTCGAGACAGAGACGTGGGTCCCACCATTGGACTTGTACCTAAACAAACGGCTTGCCGATTTCGAAAATCGACTCCAACAACCTGATCTGGACGATGGTCAAGGCGGCAAGAAGACGGCGGGGAACGTTGTCCTCACCGCCTGCCGCAAGATACAGCAAAGACTTAGCTCGACGAGGGGCAACAGGGGCCGACCGCGAACCTTGGGACCTCAAGGGCCTACGGCGGTAGAGAGAGCCGCGGCCACCATTATGCGCTGGACGGGGGGAACCGTTGATACGAACAGGGTAGTAGAAGAGGCTTGGAAAGCCAGGTGGTTAAAGGAACGGGACGGCAGGGCATTCACCAGGTCGGCGGACGACTTTGACCATCAGCAGGAGACGCTATTCCGGAACGAAACCCTAAGGAGGCACGACGGTCTCAGCAAGGCAAAGAGCTCACTGCTGACTCAAATCCGGACGGGAGCGATAGGCTTACGGGACTTCTTGTTTACACGGGAAGTCCCGGAGGTTCTGACTCCTGCCTGCGAGTGTGGCGAGGGACGAGAGACTGCCGAACACCTGGTAGTGTGGTGTTTGGCCCCACCGTTGACTAGAAGATGGGAGAGAACTGGAATTCGGACACGACGGGACTTTTACTCTGTTCTACACGGCATCAATCCCACGACTGCACGGCTCGCGAGGAGAGTTCTCGACTGGCTGATGGACTCGGGGAAGCTGCCGATGTACAACTTAGCCAGGGCTGCCGATGTACAACTTAGCCAGGAGGCTCGAGCTGGAAGCGGCGGCCTGAAGCGCCCCCGTTCGGAGGCCAGGAGGCCTCCTCTCTTTGTATATGTAGGCCCACTAAAACGCATCGCTCCTTGATTGTTGGTACGGGTTTTTCACCCGGCCTGGGAGGGCACGGTTTTCCTGTACACTAAATAGCAGAGGGTCCGGCACCAGGGATCTGCATCTATCTACCAAAGTAGATTCGGAATCTACTAGTAGATAGAAAGCACTGCTTTCTATCTACTCTACTCGGCCGGCTGCCAAGCTTCTATCTATTCTACCAGACCCTCATCTACGTAGATTCAAAGTGGTAGATTGCCAAGTGATTACTAATATTTCAGCACATACCTGACCCTTTCGAGCCCGCCTCAAGCACGCCCCAGCCACCACCGCCCTGAGCGGTACATATTCCGGCTTTTCCGCCTGTTCTCTTTGCGCCACGCCGGCCGAGCCATCTCACGTGACTAGTCACATGTGCCCTGCCCGCATGCTTTGGCTCTGGCAACCCATGATAGAAGTTCCGGAGAAAAGAGGGCCATCATTGGAAGGTTGATGTTCTGTTATTTATGGGAAAGTAGCAGCTCATAGTTCCGAGGAAGTCAACAAGTTGACAGCGAACCGGTTAAACGCTCCGTGTATGCTTTAGCAACAGCTTTACTGAGCGTTGGAACATCCAACACACAACGCCCAAACCATCAATACCTTGTGATCAAGGAGTGTCAAGAGAATGCAAAATATGATCCAACCGTGATTCGAGCCCGCGGCTCTAGAGGGTCTTCCGTCGGACGTTCTGGCCTCTGCATCAGCCTCTCAGGTAGTACCGTAGCGCCACACCGAGATCTTGGCCAGAAGCGCTCTAGATATCTAGGTCAAGTCATCTTTAGTTTATCAAGCGTAGAGAATCGCGCTGAGTATCTTTTCTGCCTCGTGGCCGTGTCCTGCGCGTGTCCTGCGCGTGTCTGCCGCTCAGCTGGTGGCGCGTGTTCGCAGGCAAAACAAGCCGATTTTTGACGCCTCGCCAGAGCACGGTGACTTAAGCGCCTGAGATGATTCCACGTGGGGAAAATAGTCTCTAGATGAGATTAAGATGATTGATGTATTTTTCAATTCGATAGGACCACTTTTGGTAGTGAGTTGTCTAGATGATGTGTGTAATGGTGTACAACGATTAAAATCTTGATATAAACTTGTCCGTCTTCTGGTCTAAATTGACCTGAATCACTCGACGCGTCCCGGAGGAGATCATATTATACATCCTGCTAACATAAATTTTGCTGAATTTAATGATACTATTAGCTTCACTGTATCCCGACTTGTTGGAGAGTTCTTGCCAAAAGATCAGTTTATAGATAATGGTTGCTTGGAAGGACTGACAGGAGGTTTACCCCGCGATAGGTGGGGTAATCGGTGCACAGCAAATTTTCGTTACAAAGCAACTCCGTCACTAACAATTTTGAAGTCGAGGTCCTGGGATCCTAACAAGACCATTGCAATTTATTGCTCAGCAACGAATCGTGTCACCGGCGTCGGTTTGCCTTCATTCAGTTTGCAAAATTTAGGCAAGTCGAGAGAGCTAATTTTCCATGATAGTAGCTACTGAATCGCAGTCCTGATATGATGAGACTTAATGGTACGCCTCCTGCCGGTTTTCGAGCTGCTAATGCTGGGGTTCAACTTGTACTACAGCGGTCTCCAGTAACAGCAATCTCCCAAGAATCCTACCGCTCATGGACGTTGACAGGGCTTCGTGAAGACGCGTTTGACCGCGTTCTTACAAGCCTGTGAGTGTCAGCCAAGATCTACAATATAAAATTCCCTTTGCCCCCATCAATATGTCTTCTTCCTTCTTCCTTCTCTCAACAGACAAGCGAGATCGCATCCAGTCCTTTCTCGACTCACTTGAGCCCACTCCACCGAACATGAGCGACATGTCCCAGGACAGCCTGCGGTCATCCAGCCTCTCCGAGTCGCTGCTCTCCGATCCCATTGAATCGCCCTCCGAGATGTAGGCATTGAGGCGCTTGAGGATGGAATATTCTGGCAAACTGAAGGTGAAATAGCATGAGGTGGCCGACTCGTGGCTAGGTTTCTAGAAGTATGTTAAAAATCGTAGGTCCTGTTATCGGAACTTCCTTACCCGCTCAAGCCTTGGCAATCTACCTAAATAGAATCTACATTGATAGAATAGCTTCCTATTCTATCAACTCTACCTCGGGTCGGCTGACTAATGTATCTATTCTATCTACTTTGGGGTCGCGGTAGGTAGAAGTGGATAGATGCAGAACCTGTCCGGCACGCCCTAGGGCATAGCGGAGTATGAATATATATATATACATGATAATGATATTGGCTAGTTAAGCTATACCATTTTCTAAGAGTTTAAGTTTCTTGAACTAAGTTTGCCATTTGGAGCGATGCCCCTGATCACTCATCCTGAAGAACTGAGCAAACTAAGCATACAGGGGATAAATAGTATATCGTCACTCATTCCGGAGAGCTCTAAGAGTTCTCCACTTAGCAATCGCAACTACAGCTAGCTACAAGCTCAGAACCGCGAAGCCTACAGTTGAGACAAATCATTATTGTGCACCTCATGGTTGTGCACCTCTTGGTTGTACCGAATCAGACACCCTTGTTTTCCTTCAGTCCGACTGAACCCTTTCCCGTACAGTATGCAATCCTATACCCTCGCCCGCTGTTAGCTCTGCCCAATGCCTTGTCACTCGGCAGTTCCCTCACACGCCGTTTCGAATTCCTGTATCAGAGCCTACAGTCAAAGCAACGATCAACACAACCCTCCAAACCGCGAGCACAACACGACACCAAGCAGCACAAGCTCACCTCAAAATCATGATCGGCCAGCGTCATAAACACCGGATGCTTATGCATCTTCAACTGGATCACCCTCGGGCTCTTGATACCAAACGCGATCCTCGCCAAAAACCTCGGATCATCCCTAACATCACACGCGGCCAAGATCCTCCCAATCCCCGCGAGATCCGGCTTTCTCAGCCGTTTCGGCGGCATCACAACCCGCCTCCCCGTCAGACAATGCGTGCAATGTCCGCACTTGCTCTTCCCACCCGGCAAGCCCATGCCAAAGTGCTGGGCCAGCGCCAGCGCCAGGCACCGGTCGCCCGTGACCAGGTCCTCGACCTGCTGGGTGCGGCGCAGGGCGTCGGCCTCGCGGCGGGAGAGGTCGGCTTGCAGGTCGTCGAGGAGGGCGGCGAAGGCAGGGCTGCCCTTGCGAGGGAGGGGTTGGACGATGCGGTATTTTTGTTCGATCCCGCCGGCCTTGAGCTCGATGAGGCCTGTTTCGTGCAGTTCGTTGAGCGTGCGGACAAGGTCGATACGGGGGAGGCCCGTGCGGGACATGATGGTGGCGAGGTCGACGTGGTGGAATTTGGCCTTCTTGAAGGCGTTGGTGGAGATGGCTCTGCTGGCTGGGGAGTGGTCTGTTTTCATCCGCGTGAAGTACCCTGGAGTGGCGACGAACTTGTATTTGCTGTACTCCGGGGTGACGGCGCGAATTAGCCCGAAGCGCAACTCCAGCGCTGCGTAGATGATGACCAGAGGACTCATGCGAATGTCATAATCTCGCGATTGCGCGTAGTGGCTCGTCTTGAAGGTGTCGCCCACAGGTTTAGCGGCGTTTTTGCCAAGGATGTCAATGAGCAGCCCGTTGAGGGATTTGCGCGAGGGGAGGTCGCCCCGCGCAAAGTTCTCGCGGATGTACCGGTCGTCTGGGCAGATGTAGAACATGCAGTTGGCGGTCTTCCCGTCCCGCCCGGCGCGGCCGACCTGCTGGCAGTACTCTTCAACGGTGCTCGAGAGATCGAAGTGGACGACATTGCGGATGTCGGGCTTGTCGATGCCCATGCCAAAGGCAATCGTCGCCACGACGATACGAATGTCGTTGGCCAAGAACCTGTCCTGGATTTCGCTCTTTTCATCCACCTTCATGCCGGCATGGAATGCCTCGGCATCAAACCCGTGCTCTCGCAGATCGGCCGCTAGCAGGACTGACTGTTGCTGGAGAGTGACGTAGACCAGTGTTGGTCCTGGGTTCTCGTTCAAGAACTGGAAAAGGAGCGGATACTTGTCATGCTTGGTCTTCACAGCCCGAGCGTGGAGGTTTAAGTTCGGCCGATAGGCAGTTGTGCGAAACACGCCTTCTGTCGGGATTTTGAAGGCGCTGCAAATATCGTCGACGACCTTGGGAGTGGCCGTTGCCGTAAGACAAATGACCCTTTCGGCCGCGATCTCGTCGGCGAAGCGGGCGACTTTGAGATACTCGGGCCTGAACGAGTGTCCCCATTCCGAGATGCAGTGGGCCTCGTCGACGGCCAAGAGGGCGCACACCGCCCCTGACGTGGCGCATCATGGCAACGAAGCCTTCGTTGTTCAGTCTCTCTGGGGCGCAGTACAGAATACGCAGTTTCCCTTCTCGCAGGGCGGCGTAGGTCTGCTGTAGTTGTTCCCACGTTTTTGTCGAGTCGATGCAATCGGCAGCCACCTTCTTTCTCTTGAGGGCATCAACTTGGTCCTTCATCAGGGCGATGAGCGGCGAGACAACAATGGTAATACCATGCTCGCCGGGTGTTCTCGAAGCATCCTGCAAATCCAACTGCGGGAAGGCAGTGGCCGGGATCTGATTACGACATGTCAGGAGACGAATCAATACATTTGGGGGGTGGATTGCAAGGCGGGCAAACCTGATAACAGAGGGATTTCCCCGCGCCGGTTGGGAACACGGTCAGGACGTTCCCGCCAGCGAGGATCCGTCCGATGGCGCCCGCTTGCTCGTGACGAAATGATGAATACCCGAATGTCTCTGTCAGCAACTTCTGGGCGACCTCCATCTGAGCTACATTCTCGGGTTGCAATTCTTTCAAGACGCCATCATCGGGAACGGGATTCTCGTCGATGATACCGCCGCTATTGTTCCGTTGTTTTTTGCGCTGGTTGCCGCGGCTGTTAACCTCGGTTTCGTGGTCACATGTCCGCTTCAAGTTGCCCGTGGAAGCGAGCGGTTGGCTGGCGACTAACTGGTCGACATCGACATCGTCGAAAAGATTTTCACCAGAACCAAATGCGCTCATTGTTAAATCGCCAGGGTACCTAAGATGTTTGGTCACCTTAAAAGAAAAAAAGAATGTCCTTGAATTTCGGCCCAAAAGTCTCAAAGCTAGCGTTGATCGAAAGCTCTCGCAAAGCCCTATCTAGGCACACCACGTGCACCGACGCGCAATCCGCAGCGCGGCCGCAGTGGGCGGGGAAAGAAGGGCGATCCGGGACACGCAGTGCCCGGAGGAACGTACGAGGAACGAGTATCAGGGCTTGTCTCCCTGAAATTCAGCTGTGGGGCTACCCGCGGTTTATAAGGGTGTTGGAAGACCAACAGCCACGATTCCACGGTTATCACACGAAAATGTTTTGGAGCTTACAACAGTGGGTTGGGATACTCGGAGCATCCCAGAAGTCATCAATTGAAGGTTGTTCTGTCTTCGTCCTCCGTGGCGGGCACCGCCCTGACCTCCTTTTATAGCCTCTTGTTCAACCCCTGGAAACCATCTAACACAAGCGCATCGGTAACCAGGCTTCCGTGTTTCAAGTGCCACAACTTCTGACACTGGTATCTGCAAGAAGGTTCTATATGGCGAATCCACCACATTGCGCCCACGTTGGGCAGCTTGGCAGCCATACATGTTCTGCAACCGAATGTCCGAGTGTCAAGTGCCACAACTTCCAACAAAGGGCCAATGAGATGGCGCAACTCTAGGTAGCTTCACCGACGACCACGCAAGGATGCAGATTGCAGGCCAACAAGGTGAGAAGGAAAATAAAAATATTGATTGAAGCAGCTTATTCCGCTGGAAAAGAGCTCCAAAACAGAGCAACGGTGGAGAGCTGTGCTACGATCTGAGCTCGGAAACCCCAGGGTCTCGCCAGAGCGCCGCGTCCTCTACGTCATCGGTTTCAGACCCCTGGCCAGATTCAAGCATTGCATCCCATTCTTGAAACCACGCAAGTGGGTGATAAAAAAACAGGTCCATGCAATTTGATCCTACAAAAAATTCCCCTCTCATCACACCAACATAAGCAACAGCCTCAACACCATAAAACAACACAGTCATTTGCAATCCCAATTCTATCTTATGATGAGCCATGGCAATTGTTGTTGAAGACAGAGATGGCGCTTCCTATCTAACAATAGTATCACATTTATTCTATTTACAAACGTTGTGATTGACGACGTAGTTGCCGTCGAAAACAAGGCATACCCCCTGAACGCTGGTGTTGATGTGATGCAATATTTTGTAGCAAGAGCGGGGCGCTAGCTGTATTTAGCATGGGGTGACTGGGTCAATGGACCTGTTTTTTTGTCACCCACTTGCCACGGCTCGTGCCTGTGGTCTTGCTCGAACCGCCGTCTGGTCTCCTTGCCCCGTTGTTCCAGCTTGACGATAGCGTTTCTCATGTCTTTGTCAAGGACATTCTTGGGCTCAATAAAGTCGCCGCGCGCCGGTTTCCGAAACAGATGCAGCCCGTCCCAGCTCTCCGCCCTCGATAGCTGCACGTACAGACTCATGAAACTGGGTCGAGTCGCCGTACCGCGGGAGTGGACGCCTTTGAGGTTGACGAGCGCGTCTGAGAACTGTTTTCCCTGGCTCTTTTGATCCGTCATGGCGAAGGCCGGTGTACAAAGAGGTCCCGTTCTGTGGGTGACCCACCGAAAACCGGGCTTGCCCCTCCATCTGCCTTCCTTGCCCCGCATTTGGCTCGGGATGGCGACCGTCTTGCTCTTGACTAAGATGGTGCCGTTGGGGAGCCCGGGGATGGCGAGGTCCGCGCTATCGTCCGACTGGAGGAGGACGGCCACCGGCGGTCCGAGATGGAGAGTCACGTCACTAGTAAGGGCGATGGTGCCAAACGCGAGGTCGGGGAAGATGTCGACGGCCATGAAAGGTGCCCCGTTGACGACCTTCAGCCCGACAAACTGGTTGCGAGTCACCACGACCGGCATGCCTTGGGCGTAAAAGAAGAGGCCAGGGGTCGGCAGCTGTGAGTCGTCTCCGTGGCGGAGTACGTCCCCCAGCTCTTCGACGCGCAGCCGTTTCCCCGATTCGGCGTCATGCTTAGCCACAAAGATGGAGATGTGTTTGCCGTGGGCACGAGCCCACTGGACGACGGCTGCCATGTTCAGGTCCCACCGATCTTGGTTCAAGGGCGTGATGGCTCTCAGCCCATCTACGAAGGAGCACTTGCACGACGGTGTATAGAGGCGTTGGCTCAGCCGCTGGAAGTCCTGCTCGGTCTGATCGCCATTGCGCAGGCGCCGGAGGAAGCCCCGCAGCCTTGGACAGCCGGCCACGCGGACCTGCTCCCGGAGGAACCACGGCGAGCGAACAACCCTCCTCCGGCTGTACCTCAACCAGAACCAAATCCAACCTTCCAGATCACCTTCAAACCAAACGTCATTCTCCGTCGCTCATCATGAAAAAGAAACATACGACAAAGCGTTCCCTGCTCACACTCAATATCGAACCAATAGCGTGACTCAAAAAGACGTCCCAAGTGTATTGCTTCTTTGACGCACAAAACACACGGAACCTATCAGCTCTGTGAGATTACGCCACAGAGGCTAATCTTTACGGGATATAACTACTGAAGCCCCTATATGACGATATAGCTTACTGAAGACTCAGGAATGCGGCGTCATACATCGGCGATGGGGTCAAACCGGTGCCAGAGACCACCTTTTTTACACTACGGTGCTCCATTCCCCCAATCCAATGAACTCAACGTGTTCTTCCCATCCTGGTTTTCTGACCTAAACTACAATCATCTCCTGATAGTTACTGTTTATAATTCCATTGCAGTCACGATGGCTTCTTCTTCCGCCTCCATCGTTTACCCAATACCCCCACTACCAAACAAGCGAGACCAAGGCGCGACTGGCGGAGACCTCATCGTCACCTACCAATCCGACTTGGCCCAATGCGAGATCCTGCCAACCGGCTCCCGCTACACAAGCGCAGGAAACTTCAAAGCCGGGACCTTCCTCCCATTCACCCAACCCTCCTTCATCCACGACCTCTATCCGCAGCTCCTTAGCACCGAAGACGAAGAGAGCTCGGGGTTACCGGTAATACTCTCCATGTTTAACACAGAACCGAAAGCAACAACACTGGAAGAAGATTGGGAGAGAAAATGGTTCACCATAACCGCCCGACTGTTCCCGAACAAACTTGCCTTCGAAGGCGTAGCAGTCAACGGATGGGAGATAGACGATCCCCAATCCGTAAAAATTACCCTCGCAATGCCGCGTGATGGTGGTTTAACACCGTAACGTATATTATCAACGGATGACCCATATCAACGAATGACCCAGCCCCCACAGCACTACATTAACTATCCCTAGAAATATTACAACAACACTAGGAAATAACTACAATTACATCAGAAACAGCTGTATCAGTGGCTTCTGCACCCTCCTGGCAAGTGCGGGCATTATGGCCAGGCTTGCGGCATCTACTACAGCACCGAACGTTCGTACGAGCCCCCCCTGTACCACTACCATCCGGCTGCGTTTCCTGCACTCCCCCCTTACCTACAGCCCTCTGGTCTAGTAGATCCTGTGCATCCTGTACAGTAAGTGACCCTCCAAGCTGCACACGTGTTTTTTTGGCCCTCCGTCGCTTGCTCAGTGCCTCGTTGGCCTTGCGGAGCGAAGAGACCTCTGACTGAAGGAGAGCCACCTGGTGCATTACAGCCGTTGTACCTTTGGTAAGCTGGTCAACAGCAGCCAACATTGAAGCTGGGGAGCTGTTTTGATGGCTAGCGATGTGAGTCTTGATAAGGTTTGACTGCGAGCTGGCTTCTTGGGGGTTATGTGGGGTCTTAGAGACCCAAGGTTGTGCAGTGCCAGGCCGGGAGTTTGGGGGTGTTGGTGTATGAAGCTTGACATCCAACTTAGAAAGCACCCTCTCTGGATCGAATGGTACGATGCCGGCCCCTGCAAACCCACCCTGGATATTCTTCTCTGTCATGGAAGCAAAGAAGGCTTCGCGAAAGGCGCAAAGGAACTCGAGCTTGCTGATGTGGTTGATATGTGCCCGCATGAGCTCCTCAACATAGCGACCGTAGGCCTGCTTCAGTGGCCCGAAGCAGCCAACATCAAGTGGCTGGCACTTGTGGGAAGAGTGCGGGGGCATGCAGAGTGTGATGATCTTGTTGTCCCGGCAGTAGAGCTCGAACTCGGTGGAGTGGTGGCTTTCGTGGCCGTCGAGGATCAACAACCGGTATATACCCTTTGTCCGGGGCGCCGTATGGTAGTCAAAGTGCTTGATCCAGTCAAGGCCAACTGCATTGGTAGTCCAGCCATTGTCGGTAGTTGCGATGCGCCAGTCGAGTGGTAGATTGCACTCGCGGTACCAGTTGGCGAGGTGGTATTGCGCGGCCAGGATGATGAATGGAGGGATGGCCCAGCCAAGGGCGTTGACCCCCTGGATCACAGTCGCCCATTCGCGATTACCAGGCTGGGCCAGATTTGCCTTGCCACGGCCATCTGAGGTCGTAACTACCATACCTGGGAAGATCATGCCCATCATGAACCCAGTCTCGTCAAAGTTGTAGACATCGTCATCTACAATCCCATATTTGGCCCTGGTATTCTGTACAAGTGCAAACCACTCGCCAATGACCTTCGGATCCTCACACTTAGCCCTCTGGTAGTCGTATCTACGTGTACGACGTGTACTAAGCCGTGGCTGGCGTTTAACAAACCGATGTGCCCAGAGCTTGCCGACAGGGGGCGCGCCACGCGTACGTAGTAGATGGTTGGCCATATCTTCCACACCACACAGTCTAGGTGGAAATGCACGCGCATCTAGTTCAAGGATGTATTGAACTATTGTAAGCTCTTCCAGATCTGTCAGCTTCCGTAAGTTGGCTGGTATATCGCGTCGTGCAGGCTTGCCGGTGCGACGACGGCCCAAGGTTCTACGGTCGACGCCATATGTCTTAGCCGCGGTTCGTTCGGTCAGATTCTTGTCGTTTTTAAGAGCTTGAAGTGCCAAGACCATCCGGTCTTCTTTGAACGTAGGTGGCATCTTAGATGGTTGAGGAAATTGATGTTGGGTGCAAAAGTGTCGCGTCGCGTGGAAAGTGGGTCATTCGTTGATATGGGTCATTCGTTGATAATATACGTTATGCACGTTTACCATGCCATCACTGACTCGCAAAGGACGCTGACGCATCTAAGGATTATCCCCCGGCGACTCGCTAACCCCGATGAAACGGTTCCCTGGCCAGGCACATCGGCACGTGTGTCCCTTACCGGCCCCGTCGATCTGGATACATTCCATCTCATGGACACCCTGTCCTTACTTTCCCAGCATTCGTAAATAACCATCATGAAATGAAAAAAAATACAATTACATCGTTGACTCCGCAACTTTAGGTGGAGATAAGCAGCTTTAATCTGTAACATCACAGACTTCCAAAAAGAAAGTACGCTTAACAACTAGAAAGTTCCTCCAGGCTCCTTTGGCGTGCCCGCGCGCAGCGGGCACGGTCACTCCTGTTGAAGCTGGCCCTCGTTGGCATCGAAACGATCCTGATAGGTAGCAGCAAATGAATATTTATTGTATGCTTAGTCACTTTGGCGGAGTGGTTAACGCGCTGCCCTGCTAACCGCCAGTTAGCTGCGAGGCAGTTCCTTCGGGAGCGCAGGTTCGAATCCTGCAGGTGACGTACCTTTTGCCATCCATCCTGACCCCTTTCAAAATTATGCATTTTTGATGAAGTTGCTGATCCATTGTCACATTTCCTTCTCACTGCCTATACCTATTCATAGGTCCGTTTGTATCTCGTCCTCGCTACTTGATTGGTTAATATCATAGGTACTTGGTGCAAACTTGAGGGTAACGAGGGATTCAGGCCTCGGCCCGGAGCTTTTTGTGATGGCTCTCCATGTAACATAGGTAATTACACAGCCCCTGAAGTCTTCCTCCCCTTGACCTATCAAGATGAGTAACCTTATTTCTCATCATTTTCCCTTAGGTAGCTGCCGCACTCACCGCAGCACGGATCATCCCGATGGCCATCGGGGTCTCGCACCAGGCAGAGTACGTCTGCGAGAAGGCGAGGTGGGCCTCCTCGCGCGATCCATGCGTGTACATCTGGGACCCGGTCGTGAAGTCGCGCTCCTCGGGCTGGAGCATCATGGGCCAGAAGTGCTTGTTGTACTTGTCGACGGCGGTGAACAGCTCCTTGAGTTGCTCGTTGAGCTCCCCCTGCTTCTTGACGATCGAGGCCTCGTCGGCGAACACTTCGGGCATGCGATCCAAAATGTCCTCGCCGTACTTGCCGCGGACTTCCGCGAGGACCTCCCGGGCGGATGGCATGGGCGCGCCCTCGGGAAGGCCGGCGCGGGCCTGGAGTAGGTGTTGCAGACCCAACAGCAGGCGCACCTTGATTAGCTGCAGGCTCGATACGAATGAGAGGTCCAGGAACCTGCCGCCGGTCCAGAGCTCGACTTCTTCGGTGGCATCGGCGTCCTTGACGTGGGGATACCCCTGATTGGGCTCGAGATCTTTGGCCTCGGGCCTACCTCGGAACTGGAGCCCCCATCCCTTCACGAAGTCGTAGGCCTCCTGGTTACGACCGAGCCGAATGTAGAGGGCGGGAATGAGATGGCGTGCTGCTTGGTTATCGGATGTGTTCAACCGCAAGAGCTTGAGATAGACCGCCAGAGCATCCTCGATCCCCTGTTGTCTCCAGGAACGGACGAGCATCTCGCCGTGTTCATATAGGGCTCGCAAGTACGGCCGCGCCGATTGGAAAAGCCATAGCCTGCCCAACTCCATGGCGTTTGCTGGCAGTTCATCGTCGCCGGCGGACCGTGCAAGTATCTTGGCCTCCTCTTCATCGAGCCTGGTCTTAGTGCCTTTGATAGTATTGCATGTCGTCTTGTGAGTTGGGCGGTCAGATGTTTGGTGTTCGCGGCCGCAGTAGTAGTAGGTGTAGCACCCCCCGCACCGCGATAAACCATCCGTCTTTTTGCACACCTCGCATTGCTTTCTTATCATGGACGGGAAATGTTCCTCCATCTTGACACGAGCTTAGGAGTTAGCGGGGCTTTAGGTTGTTTCCTCCCGTCGAAGATCGATGCCAAGTTGTGTTGTGGCTTGCAGGGGGGACCAATTGGGAGTCGAGTCGGGGACAGAAACCCTCGAACTTCGACTTGGAACCTGGATGCAAGGCTGTGAAAAACTGAGTTGTTGACTGGACTTCACAAAAAAAAAAAAGACTTAATCCAAGCCTTGTGCCGTTCTGCTGCTGAACTGGACACGGTTGGAGTTGACAGATGGCACGGAATTTCCCATTAGCCGGAAATTGAACCATTGCAGCCATGATCGGAGGACACTTACCCGCCTTTCCAACTTTCCAACCCCTCTCTCTCTCGCCCTGTGCAACCCCGCCCCCTCTTCCATTGACTAGTTCCATGTCATGTCTCAAACATGATCAAGGGGCCAAGGAGCTAAATCCATCACAGACTCGCACAGGGCCGGCACTGGCCGGCAATTGAAAAGCTTAACGGCTCACAGTCCAAACAAGAAGATCATAGGTCAATCCCTTTGTCACCGAAAAACAGAAGGATTCGATGACAGTGGACGGCTGCCCAAAAGAGAGGGCTGGAACCCTAACCCAGGCTTGGTGGTGGGGCACCGACCTCCCAGTCTCGCCGTTTTCCACCCAACCACCTCACTCCAAGGGCATCGACAGCCCAACTGTCGCCCTAAGAGAGGTCAATTGACCATGGCAAACCTGTTCATTCTTGTCAATCCAACTCTTTCAAGGTTGGCTCGGATGTCGTGGCCCCTGCCCAACGCCTCGCCTTGCGTATTGCACAATTGTGCATTGCAAACACGTCCTTGCATCGTCGGAGCATGGGTACTCGTTACGACTTTCATGCGCTGCGCAGCCTGATTGAAGGATGGTTGTGGGTTGGTGACCGCCTACGTGGCGGTCTGTCTGTCAAACCAAAACCGACATGCGCGGCTGTTCGGGGCAGTTCGGTCTTGGGTGAAACGTTGGGTTTGGCATCGGGCGATGCGCCACCGCGGGCCCAACGACCAACTAAGACCAAATTCGACACTGAGAGAGCGCGCGGGCCACGTGTAGGGGGGCAGCTCACATGCGCCTTTGCCCCTTCGAGATCGCGGGCCGCAAAGCAAGAATCGACAACCGAAGAGAATGAGCGACTCGCTGTGCTCCTTCACTCGCCCTGCTTTGAAGTGACTGGTCGGAAAGGGCGAACCAGTGGGCGGGGCTGCATCCGATTGGGAAGGAACCACAACATCGATCGCTGAGTCACAGTTTGGACTCGCTCTTTCGCTGCAGAGTGGCTGCAGATTTTGCTGCAGACTTGCTGCACACTTGATGCAAACTCTCCCTTGCAACTGGTCGAAACTCAGTGCGAAGACCCCGCCGATCTGCTCCCTGGCTTCCCTGGGAACTCGGCCCATCCGCAAGCCTCGAGAATTTCGGCGTTTGACAGCTCACCACGGCAACGCAATGCTCCCAGGCTCCCTCCAATGCTCCCCTAGTCAGACCCACCCCCGATGTTCCTGGCGCTCGAGCCTGGGTATCCGGCAACGCGAAACAGCCAGTTGCCATCGGGCTTGGCGGGAACGAGCCATTCAGGGCTGCCATTGAGGCCCAACTCGAGACTCGACAACGAATGGCAAGACTCGACCGAGCAGTCCGACGCAAGCAATGGCTGGGGCGACTGGGCCAACTGGGCCACTGGGCTGGGCACGGAGAGATAGCCAGCTGGGGTATGCCGTGGCAGAGTCTGCGACAGGCTGGTACCGATGCCAGCTCACTCGACAGTCTGCTCACCGCCGGGTAGAAATACGCCCGCGCCGTCTGGACGAGGGGGCTGGTCGACCCACAAGGCATTGCAGCTTCAAAGCGCAATGAGATATCTTTGCAATCTCAACATCTACATCACGGTCGAAGCCGCAACCCTCATCGGACTCATCTTGGTCATCACCACTTCATACCTCTACACCACAATCATGATGGCGAGGAGAAGAAGATCCGGCGCCGCCAAGGCTGCTGATGGTAAGGGTACGGCTCCCGCGAGGAGGGATAACGACAACAGGCCCGAGACTTCGTGAGTGGTGCCCATTCCCCGCTGCCCGTAGACTGCCCGTAGAGCCTCTGTTGTGAAAGAGATTCCTCCCTATTCCTCAAGCTAACTCGTCTTGTTACCCACCCCTAGGCCCTACGGCAGCCTCGCCTGCCCTGTCCCCTTCTCCAGCCCGCTCAATGTGCCGCTGGACATCCTCAAGAAGAGCCCTAAGCTCCATGCCGCCTATGAGAACCGCCTCCCGGAGCTTCCGACCATCCCCCAGGACGTCGGCCATGTGCTCGTCCACTACCTCCACACCGGCACATACAGCTCGCTCAAGCCCAGGCCGACCGAGACCATGACGAAGCAGGTTTGTGAGCTCAAGACCAGCATCCAGGTGTACGCCGCCGCGAGGGCGTACGAGCTCCCGGATCTCATGCGCTTAGCCGAGGCCAAGATCGACAAGTTCGGCAGGAACCTGGCCCTCCCCACTCTTCTCGAGGTGGCCCGGGATGCGTACCCGTCGTTGACCGAGGGGGACGCTTGGTTTCTCGACTATCTCCGGGCCCGCATCCGCCCGCACCTCAAGGACCCCGCAACCCTTATGGGGTCGAACCTGCTGGACCAGATCAGTGGCATCCTCTCGCCCAACAGGGTCCTCCTCAGGACCGTCCTCGAGCTCTTCTGCGAGAGGATCGTCGTCCGCCCTGACTCGCCGGCCCCCGCCGCCGGCGTGAGCACCATCGCGAGCCCCATCACCAGCCCGGGCAGCTCTCGGCCCGTAACCCCCGCGTCTGCCTCACCCAAGTCGCTCCTCGAGATGAGGTCGAGGTCCGTCGTCCGGGAAGACGTCACCCCCGTTCGGAAGAGCAAGAGGGTGACGTCGTGGACGGCTCACGACAACGAATCGGAAGCTTCGTTGTCCATCTCGCCCGAGCCGACCTCGGAGACGGGCCCCACGTTCGAGATCCAGCCCGTGCCTGAGACGTCCCGTGCCGTTCCGCCCTTTGCTGAGCTGGGCCCGGTCATCTTCGACGTCATGCCCCCGCCGGGGCCGCCTATCAAGTCGGCCATTGCGTCCGAGGACAGGTCCATCCCTGAATCGGACGTCGCCAAGATCGCCATTGAGCCTGAGGTGAAGACTGGGACTGAAGTTGAGGCCCTGCCTATCTCCGAGTCCGAGGTCAAAGACGAGGCTGAGGAGGAGGTCAAGATTGCCATCGAGCCTGAGACCAAGGCCGAGGCTGAACGCGAGCTCAAGGCTGAGGCCGAGGATGAGGAGGTTGACGGTGGAGTGAAGCTCTCGGATGATGAGACCAATGAAGAGTCGGGTGAGGTTCCTGTCCAGGTTCCTGTCCAGGCTCCTGTCGAGGCCGTCGAGGTTGCTACCGAGGCTCCTATCGAGGCTCCGATCGAGTCCAAGGACGAGGTTCCTGGTGAGGCCCCCCGCGACGCCCCTGTGGAGACGGAGAAGGAGAACGCCACTGAGCCTGAAACCAAGCAGCAGCAGGAGGAGGACGCCACCACCGAGGAGGTTACCGTTGTTCAGCGGGAGCGCAAGGATTCCGGCAAGGGCATCGACCTGGAGCCTCTACCCAAGGAGCTCGAGTCTATTCCCGAGCATGTGCCCGAGATTTATGAGGCTGAGTCCAAGGCCCAACCCCAATTCCGGCCCGCGGTGCTTCGGGAGGCCGACTCGGGATTCTGGGAAGGTCCCGAGGTCGAATCTAGCAAGGCCTCGGTCGTTGAACTGGAGACCGTGCCTGAGCCCGCACACGAGCTTGAATCGGTCACCGCCCCGAAGGAGGTCCCTGGCATCGAGACCCGCGACTTTGCTGGTGCCGAGGAAGATGTTAAGGACAAGACCGACAAGGACGCCGAGGTCAACGTTGACGCTACTAAGGAGGTGGTCTCCGAGACCCTCCCCGCCGAGGGAGATTCCGCCGAGACACTCGTCGACGCCCAGTCCAAGGACCTCGAGTCCCAGCCCGAGCCGGCACCCCTGCCGACCAAGTCGGTCGAGAGGACCCCGGAGCAGCTGGACGACGCTGCGAGCCTTGCGCCCGAGATTACCCCAGTCCATGAGCAGGAGCTGCCTGAGACGGACAAGAGCAAGGAAGTCGAGGCACAGCCGGAGCCAGAGAAGGTAGAGCCGGAGCCGAGAGTTCTAGAACAAGAGTGTTTGCTAACTGTGAATAATAGGTTCAGAAGGAGACCGTCGAGCCTGAAGTGGTGGCGAAGCAAGAGCCCGAGCCCGAGGCGTCCTCGTCGGACGCTGTCCCTGTTCCCGACGATGCTGAGCCCGCTGGGCCCTCTGACGCCAAAGCGGCGCAGCACAACGACGAGCCGCGGTCGGAGCCCGCCGCGAAGACGGGACTCCAGCGCGCCAACACCGACTCAGCCCTCCTTGCCGCCGGCCGTGCAGCTGACGCCGTCGAATCCGCGCCTGTTGTCAGCGGCGAATTCGTTCCGGGGCTAGACAGCGCAAAGACCGAGGCGGACGGCCAGCCCTGCAGCGCCCAGGTGAGGCAGCGCGGCTGGAAGAAGCGCTTCCTCAGCCTCCGGTACCCGGTCCTCTTCGGCCGGGGTATGTGACTCGCTGCGCCGACGTCCGCCGTATCTCGAGTCAGTGTGTCGGCCCCGGCGGGCGCCGGCAGGAAGCACGGAAATGCCACCGTAACGACGGCTACGATTACGACATCACACGATCTCCAACAGCAAGAACCCTGTACATTTTCCTTTGTCGATACGCATAACGAATCTTCTTCATCTTCTACTTCTTCGTCTTTGTCTTCAACTTCTCTCGTCTCCGGCCTTTCGCTGGGGCTCGCATTGCTATACACAACATCATCATCTGGTTGCACATCATCATCATCATCATCATCGGGTTCGGGTTGCGACGGCACGGCATTAGATTGGACTTTGCTGGGCGCCCTGGTCTTTCAGCTTTTCTTTTTCTCCACCGTCGTCTGGCAGGGGCTTCGCAGCTTCTATGGGCAGCGGAAGAGCAACATCTATGGGTTCGGAATCTGGGGCTGGGTATGCATTCGGAATTGGCTTGGGAAATTGATCCGGAACTGGGTGCGGAATGGCGGCAGATCGTCCATCGGAGGTCGGCCAGGGGGTCGGACGCACGCGAGCGCGGCGCCGGCGAGATTGCACCTGTAGTTAGATACATCTAGGTAGTTGGCATTTGGTAGCATTAACATGGGCGGCTTTTTGGCTTATAATTTGGATAGGGCGAGGTGACTTGATGTAGTGTCTTGGGAATCGTTCTCTGAATGCCTAGCTGGATTTGACCCTTGAGACTAGGATCAAGAATCCAAATCCTCTCCGGATCAAATCACCACGGACTGCCTGCCTGTCGAAAAGGTCAAGGTTTTGGGCTTGATTTATACTCACTAACCGCCGAACTGAATCACTCCCGGGTGAGATTGTTGGTTAATCAAGTGAATCGAACCCTGCTAAAAATGCCGGATTCCACGTGTGTTTCCGTTGCATCCGCCCATCGCCCATCGTCAATCAGAAGCTGCAAGATCAACTTATATGTATCAACTCCCGCCTCGTCTGAGACTGCTCTGTGTCATCCAGGGGTGGGTCCTGGTTTATTGGCGGTCCTCGCCTTTGTGCTGGACGTGGTGTTTCAGGTTGCTTGACTTACACCGACGACCAATCGATCAGCCAAGACCGCGCCCCCTACCCACCCCTTCGGCACTGCTTTGGGCAAAGCCACGGCAATCGGTTGCAGCTGAAGGAGGGCCACGCGAAACAAAATCTCCACGTCGGAATCGGGTAGGGGGCTCGACTGGTTCTTGTCTGTAGCTGGGTGAGACCTCTCTGGGATAGGGGGGGGATTTGGGGTGAGACATGAATGGGAAATGGGAATGGTGTTGATGATAACCGCGCAGTTAAAAAAAGAAAAGGGGTTGGGTGAGAGGATCCCGCGGATCTTTTGACTGAATATATTCAGCATTCCCTCTGCTTCGCCCACTGAAAAAGTGCCTTTCTTCCACGGTTACATCAAAGAAGTAAACAGACTGCCAAGCCGTCGACAATAGGATACCCTCATCATCACCAGCCACAAGCTTGGTTCGGTCACGCCTGGCGACCATGGAGACCATTCACGAATCAAGACAAAAGGGAGCTGGCACCCCCAGCGGGTTACCAGAGGCTGCCCTGTTTTCGGTTGTCAAGCCTAATCAACGGACGACCGAGGTCGTGCTGTCCGCTGCGATGGATGGCTTGGCCGGAAGATCTTCCTCGCTGAAGACGCCACTGGGGAAAAAGACCAGCTTCCGGGTGCGGGACTGGGCCAAACGGTCTAACTCTAACCGGTAGGTTGAAGTACGCATTTTTCGTATTCAAGAGCAACAGACTGACAGGCACGCTCAGCACGGCCGCGACGACAGAGATGAGTCCATCCGAGGCACTCAAATCACACATCAAGCACCTCGGA